TGGACAGCCTTCGGCGCGTCGCTGTGACGTAATCGGTCTACAAATGCGGCCTCAGGAGGATGCAGCCCATGAATTTGGACATGTCCAGAGTATAATCGCAGCCTTTGCGGTTAGAAAATTGCACTTGATCATGTCGCGATATTATCGCAAATGCGATATATCGTTCAGCCCTACCTGATACGCTCCTCAACTGTGCAAAGAAAAAAAGGGACTACTAATCGAAACCAAACGCGCACTCTCTGCGCTTGCTCCAGGAGGCTGACCGTCCTGCACTCGACCTGGAGGAGGGCAGTCGAACTCAGCTGATCTGTTTATTTGAAGATGGACGAAGAGCCTCGTGATCATAACCTGAAGCGTACAGGTATTTCCCCAAAAGTTGATTCTGTTCATCTGGACGTTCTCAATGGGAGAAACGTTTCGTCATCATCAGGTGACTCCTTCAGTCTCAGCTGACTGCAAGCTTCCCCAACCTTATAAACAGGACATTTGCACAAAGACTGAAACCAGCACCACTGAAGGAAGAGCATATTGCATACTAATGATCATAAACTGACCTACCAGCCCATTCATTCAGTGGTGCTGGTTTCAGTCATTGTGCAGATGAACTGAGAACATCCAGCTGAACAGAATCAACTTTTGGGGAAATACCTGTACGCTTCAGGTTATGATCACGAGGCTCTTCGTCCATCTTCAAATAAACAGATCAGCTCCAGGTCGAGTGCAGGATGGTCAACCTCCTGGAGCGAGCACAGAGAGTTTGGTTTGGACATGAGCTCAAAGAAAAAGCTTCTGAAACAAATGTATTTCGTCTCTAATGTTAGAGAAGAAATATGGAGCAGCGCAGAGGTCAGTGCGCGATCGTCCTCTGAGATGATCGAACAAAAGTGTAATAATGAACTTTACCACCTCAATGCAGCAGGTAGAAACTGATGTTCACCAGGAAACTACAGCACAGTGCGACCTTCAAAGATCACATGACAGAAAACACCAGATACGGAGAGCAAAGCTCACCCTTCGCACCAGCACCACGACACACACTTCAAAATGAACTTAAACCAGACGCATCGTTTCTTCGCGCTTCCTTCAAACCTGAACTTGAAGATGGTTCTTACTGAAACACTCAGCTAGTCTGAGCGTGCTCAAAGTGTGGGGCTCGGCGGTGGTTTGGTGCTCCTTTCGCCCCTAGCAGAGGTGCGCCTCATAGCACTTCTGCAGAAAGCAGCTTTGAGCTCTGAGCCAAATTCTCTGTTATTCTTTCACAATCACACTAAATAATCGCGCTCAGGATTTCAGAGCCATGTTCGACAAAACGCAGACGCCTTCGTGTTTGCACTGAAGCACACATCCTCCTGACCTTCCTTCAGCTTCCTGAGGCAGGAAAGCGCCAAGGCAGGAAGATGGCCTATGACTGAACTGAGAGAGAAACACAGACCCAGCAGGACCTGCTCCCAGCACCCACGGAGTCCAGGAGGAGCGAGTAAGACCAATAATGGCGCCCAAACCTGCAGTGCATGTGGACGGGACCCCCGTGTACACACATGGTTACATGAACAAATAAGAAACCCTGAAAGGTTCAACTCCACTGTTTTTAATGTTAATAAAGAAACACTAAACTTCATTTCCTGAGTAAATCTGAACAGCTGAGCTTAAATGTATGTAACTCTAACACGCATGTGCACGCGCGCACACACACACACCGAGGTGTGAGGAGTGAATCAAGAAGTCATTTCCTGAGTCTTTGTTCCGCAGATCAGAGTCCACGCGTTTGTGTGTACACACACACACACACACACACACACACACACACACACACACACACACACACACACACACACACACACACACACACACACACACACACACACACACACACACACACACACAGTGCGGTGTCTAAATTGTGGTTTGCGGCCCTGCGGTTGAAACAAAGCCGAATGTACATTTCTGAGCCCGTCTTGGCTCTCACACCCCCCCCCTCCGGAGGTCTCCTGCAGGAGGTCCGGTTCTGCAGAGCCTCCTTCAGAGGAGGCCGTTGGTTTTGTGGCCCTGCAGATGCCGGAGGGGCGGTGCATACTCTCTGATAAATACACCAGTGACACGTGTAAAGCCGCCACAGGCGCGTGCGGCTCCCGCCACCCCGCGGCAGCGCTGACAGGAGAGAGGGCGCCACTCGGGGCTCGCGCGGCGGCCGGACTCACCCAAACTGCCGGCGAAGCCGTCCATTTTCCGGGAGAAAAAGCGGGAGTGGGGCCGGAGGCCTGCGGGAGGCTCCGCGCACACTGCGGGCCTCCGTCCGGGTTTTCACCGCCGAGACGAGCCGAGCTGCGTCTGTCCCCGCCGAGCCGCCTGCCGGATCTGCCGGTCCACAGGCCGAAGATCCCCCGCTTCGCTGCGGGCCGAAGGAGCAGAAGTGGCCGAGAGAGGAGCGAGATAAGCCGCGGAGCTGCAGACGGACGGACCGACGAGCATGCGCGTTTCCGACTCCGCCTGCTCTGGCAGCGCGCGCTTCGCCTGGAGGAGTGGGGGGAGCAGGAGCCTGAGGAGGCTCGGGTTTCAGAGCCACTGCTTCCTGTTCAGGTGCTGCAGCGCCGTCCAGCGGGCTCACCGCGCCATCACATGCCCGCGCAGGAGTCCGTGCCAGAGTGCTCTTGAGCACCTGTGAGTGACACACACGACCCAAGTACAAGGGCTCTGACGTCACACAGGAGGTAATCAATAAAACGTCTCTGGAGCGCCTTACATAGTTTCAGCCAATGAGTGAGCCTCCCAGGTAAGGGGGCGGAGTAAAAACTCCGCTTCCTCCAACAGCAGCGATGATGATCTCCAGCATTCATCTCGGAGATGTCGCGGGTCAGAACCACGTGACTGACTCACATCCTGTTTATGTGAAACACGTTAAAGAAATCAGCTGTGATCAGGTGGCTGCAGAGGCTCCGTGTTCATGCAGAGGAGCTCGTGTCAGCGCTGACCGTGACGTTTATCTTTAAAACATATTTCAAGTTGTTCAATTCCAATGAACAGCTTGAAATGGTAAAATGGTGAGTGGTGAACTGACAGAGGTTAAAAAAGGTAAGGTTATCCAAAACTGGAAAATAATGTACATTTCAGAATTATACAAAAGGTCAAACCTTTGAAGGGTGTTCCAACTTTTCTGGATTACTTCCCCCTCTGTCTGCATTAAAGCAGTGTTAGAACACCATACCATACCCTTGTGAGCATCAGCTGGATGGTATTGTAGTGCAGAAAGTAGTGTGTACAGAAATAACGAGAAAAAGGTGATTAACGATGGAAGACAACAGACCATCATAAAAATGTAGGTCTGTCCGACAGAGAAATTGCAAAGAAAGTCAAGGTGTCAGTGAGCACAGTTTCCTTCGCACTCAGAAACAAACTGACAGGAAGAGGTCTATGGGCTCAAAATGTGGTCATAAATATTTTGTACTTGTAAAAAAGATTTGTATGTGTAAAAAAGATTTGTGTGGACTTAGCAAAAAAAAAA